GTGAGCGGGAACCGGTCTGCTTGGGGGATCCGACCCCTCGGGCGGGAGCGCCGCCGCGCTTCCCAGGCGGCGCACTATCCAGTGCGCCACCGGGCCGGCCCGAGAAATATACTATTTATCCTTCATTTCAGAAGGACGGCCTTGCTGTGTAAAGTATTCTTGGCTGGTAATTTTTGTCCTTTGGTATTCTGAATGTATCATCCCATTTTTTTTCTGGCTTTTAGGGTTTCTGATGAAAAGTCTGATGTTAGTGTGATTGGGGCTCCTTTATAGGTGACTTGCTGCTTCTCTCTTGTAGCTTTTAAGATTCTCTCCTTGTCTTTGAGTTTTGCAAGTTTGATCATAACATGTCTTGGAGAAGACCTTTTTGGGTTCAATATGTTTGGGGATCTTTGGGCCTCCTGAATCTGAAGATCTGTGACTTTTCCTATACCTGGGAAGTTTTCTGCTATTATTTCATTGAATATGTTTTCAATGCCATTTCCTTTGTCTTCCCCTTCTAGAATACCCATGATTCGGATATTTGAGCACTTAAGGTTGTCTGTTATCTCTCTTAGATTTTCTTCAATTTTAAAAATTCTTTTCTCTTTTTTTCTGGTCCGCCTTTGTTAATTCAAACAGCCTGCCCTCAAGGTCAGAAATTCTCTCTTCTGCTTGTTCTAGCCTGCTGGTTAGACTCTCTCTTGTGTTTTTTATCTCACTGAATGAATCCTTCAGCTCCACATTCTCTTTCAGGACATGATTTCTCTGTACATTTCTCCTATCAGGTCCTGTATATTTTTTCTCATTTCATTGTGTTGTCTAATCGAATTTTCTTGCATCTCATTCAGTTTCCTTAGAATTGTCGCTTGACATTCCTTGTCAGTCATTTCAAGGACTTCCTGTTCTGTAGGATCTAGAGCTTGAGGATTATTATTATTTTCCTTTGGTTGTGATGTACTCTCTTGATTTTTTCATATTTCTGGTATCTTTCCTTTGGTGTTTCATCATTGTGGCAGAGGGTATCACAGTCCACTCGTTCGACCCTCATATCTGGCCTGGATCCTGAAGGGATTGCCAATTCTGGGCAGCAGGGACTAGCCTTGGCTGGGGGTCCTACAGCACCTACCTGCTCCAGCATGGCTGACGTGGGGTGTATGGGCCCAGCAGCTCTCAGGCCTCTCTGGGAAGAGGGAACTGACCTGGGCTGGGGGTCCCACAGCACCTGCCATCTCCAGCATGGCTGACTTGGGGTGTGTGGGCCTGGTGGCTCTCAGGCCTCTCTAGTTGGTAGGGACTGACCTGGGCTGGAGGTCCCATGGCTCCTGCCTGTTTTGGTGTGACTGGCTAGGGGCATGTGTGCCTGGTGGCTCGCAGGCCTCTATGTGTGGTGGGCACTGGCCTGTGCTGGATGTTCCATGGCATACACATCCTGCCTGTTCTGGTGTGGCTCTCATGTCTCCCAAGAAGACTGCTTTTAAGTTGATGTTTGCACAGAACAGTCTTTCATATATTTGGAAAGAGTTCTATTTTCATTTCAACTTTAAAATATCAACTCCCTCTTCTCTACCCAACAGGAGCTAAGAAATGGACTGATCAGAATTCCAAAGCAACACATCTTCATCCACACAGTCAGAGAATCTGTTCTGGTGAGGAGCAAGAGCATGTGTGCGCAACATCAGCAAAGACGGGTGAAATATGACTCAAAAAACAAAGATCTACAGTGACGTATGGTTTTTTGTTTTTTGGGCAGTCCTCCATCTACCCAATTCTAATGCATATGTGTAGACACAAAGTTCTCGAAAAGATGTCATAATATCATCCCACATAAAACACAGACTGGCTTAAGCCTCTGAAGACAAACAAATGAGGCAATGATATTTCTGTCTGATGTTTCGAAAACGATTAGAAAGGTTTTTACATGGGTGAGGTTTGACACTGAAAAAATATATTCTTCCATTTTCTAAATATGTATCTTTTTTAACAAGGTCAACAATGTGAACAGAAAAAATACTTACAAATCACAGTATTTCTTGGAGTTGAAGATTTGATTTTACTTAACTTCAGAGGGCTACACTCTCCCATTTAAAAAATACATTTGGCCAAAATTTTCCTTTAGAGATTAAATACACAATATATTCATATACTTCTACCATTAAAATGAATCATGCATCATCTACAGTATGAGAAACAAAATAAAAGAAGATATCTACATAATCACTAATGATCTTTGTACAGTTCAAGGTCATGATGCCTCTTCTAAATTGCAACCTAGACAAAGGAAAGGTCTTATGGAATTCTAATATGAGGGTACTACAAAAAGTTCATGGAAAAATAGAATTAAAAGATAATGCAATTTTTTTGTAAACTTTTTGAAGACCGCTTATACTCAACAATGAACCTCCATACATAAACCCACCCATATACTATATATAAATTCACCCATAAACCAATCTCAATTGTTTTACTTATAATTTTTTTTTGTTTGTTTAAACATGATTGTTCATATCTGTGGGGTATAGGGAAATATCAATACCTGTGTACAACATGTGATGCTCAAGTCAGGATAATTAGTATATGCAACATTACACAATGTAATAATTTTTCGTGGTCTTTTACCAATTTCTTGCTAACCTCCCCTTTTCCTTTCCTACCTCTTGTAGCTTCAGTTCTGTTCTCTCCTTTTGAAAGTTCAGTGAATTATTCTTCCTTCCTTCCTTCCCTTCCATTTCCTTTTTTTTTTTTTAGCTCCAACTTAAAAGAACTACAAGCAAACTATATAATGTGTCTTTGTTCATTGAAGTCCACATTAAAAACATTTTTGCCCAGGATATAACAACTCCATAAATTTCATTAGAGATCAGTATCTTTGTTAAAAAGTTATACATTTCTCTGGTTTCTGGACAAAAATACTTAGGCTTCTTCTTCTCATCTAGTAATACAATATCAAATGGAAAACTCATGTCAATTTTTTCACTGTTTATCTGTACTGAATAGAGTTGGACGGAGGCTTAAATAGATAGTTAAGGTGTTCTCAACTCTATAACAATAAGAATAGATTTCATGAAAATGGGATAAAAGGGATTTTCCTTAGAAAAATTTTAAAAATTGCAAACTATTTGTTTTAGAGTAAACATCATTTTTAATTTAAAAATTTTAAGAATTTCAGGCTCTCTTCAAAATGATTTGATATAAGGCTTCTGGACAGACAGTAAAACAATGAACATTTATGTGTTTTTTGACCAAATGTGTGAAAGAAGATATTGTGTTCCTAGGAAATTTTAGAAGCCACAGAATCTCAGGCAATTATACCAAGGGAGAGTGGAGAGGGACTATTTTATCTTTTAACTAAGACATGATTTGTGTGTCCAGTCATGATATGATTGAATGTCCAAATGTTCTTGCCTATAACATATAAATGAGACACAAGCTTGTTCCTAATGAAACAGGTTCTTTCAAATAACCAAGATACTACTCAATATCTAAATTCCCAAACACATAAGTTTTTAAACAACAAAAGAATAAGAACATTGGCAAAATGTTTCTTGTGACATGCACACACATATACTCTATTTCTACAAGGATATAAAAAACTAATTCAGTTCTTCAAAAACATTGAAAAGTCTGCCTTCTCTCATTAAAAAAGCATACATAAAAAAATGAGAGTTCTAAATTACGTTACCTTTCAAGTCTTTCTTCAGTTTTCTGAGATCCTTTTGAAAATCTTCAAACTTCATCTGTGAGGCCTGAAAAAGGTCTTGGGGTTCGGGCAGTGGAAAAACACACTGTTCTTTTCCAGCATCCTAATTAGCAAGAAACACATACTTTTTAAACAAATTAGCATCAACAGAAATAAGAATAACACAACAGCAGCAATTGCAAAAACCAAATCAAAACAACAACAATAAAACAACTGAAAAATTACCCAGTGCATGTGAAAAGACATAAGTTTTGGGGGGCCAGGGGTGGAATGTAGTGGATTGAATTATGTCCCCCCCAAACTCACTGAAGCTTGAATTATGTTCCCCAAGTTTTATGTATTAGAAACTTACACCCCACTGTGACTGTTAAGAGGGTGGGAATCCTATTATGGTAATTGAAAGGTGAAGACTTCAAGAGGTGATTAGATTGTAGGACCATGCAGTAGTGAATGGATTAAAAATGGTGGTCAGGGCATGGTTCTGAGGGCTTTAAAAGAAGAGGAGGGTCTGTCCTCCTCTCTCTCTTGCTCTCTCTGTTCTGCTTCCACCATCTTGCAATGTGAGACCCCTGTGTTGCTGTCACCATCACTGGATGGACTTTGAACTTCCCAGCCTCAGAAACTGTAAGCAATAAATTTCATTTTTCTTTATAAATCACCCAGTTCTGTGTATCCTGTTATAAGCAACACAAACAGCCTAATACACCCAGCAAATGAAAAATACGAGTCTATGTAAAAATTATCTTACCTCATCGAAATTTCGTAGATAATATGAAACGATATACGACAAAAGGCTTCTACTATTGTCCTAGGCAGAAAGACCACAATCCATAAGAACAGATTTTAAAAATCATTAAATATAGAGTGTTAAATAAAATAAATTCTAGTTAATCCACATATATACATGACAAAATTTAGAATGAAATGCGAATATCACTTTGAATTGCCTCCTTGTATCTAAGGAGTTTAATGCATAGAAGAGACCCCCCAACCCCCAGTGTTCCAATCTAAGCTTGCAGGGGTGTTTAAGGGCAGAGTTTCAATGGTAAATACTTTCCTATTTTTATGCTCCTTCATCGAAAATTCAGTTCATTGATTTTTGTTCCATTATTTTATATTTTCATTATGAATTTTTATTTGATAATTATATTTATGCTTTAAAACTTTGACCCTAAGTGAAATAATTAAATATTGCTAGCATTTATACATTCATAAACTACACTAGCAGGCACCAATCCAGCACTATGTTTGATTGACATTCATTTGCATCTAGACTAGGGAAATGAAAAAGTTAGGTAAGTAAGTGCTTTTAAAATGCTAATGCATATTATAATTTGTTATATCAGCAACTGAGATTGAGGAATTAATACCCTTGCAGCTATAAATAAGACAATGTGTGTGGTTCTATTAAAAAATGTAAAATTGTTTCATGTATAATAGTCTTCAAAGGGTAGTTTTCATCTCCTTTCCGGTGCATTTTTAGGCATTAATTTATTTTATTTTTAAAATTTTAACTTATACATTCTAACTGTAAGTTGTACAACCTGATATTTTGACACATATATATGTTGTAAAATAATCGGGTCAGCAAGAGGCATTAATTTTTAATTAACTTTTCTGCATTGCTCTACATTAATAGTACATAATCTGAACTTGAGAGACCATACATATATTTTAGTTCAAAAAGAAACCCTACAATACAAACTACCACCTCTGTAACATTTAATATAATCGAATTTCCCCGTTTATAAAAAAGAGCAATACCTCTGCATAATGAAGTTTGACATGAAATAGTAATATATCTGATAGAGACTTCCTTCATTAAGCAGGACTTGCTTGTAAAATGATTTAAGCAGTTTGACTTCCTTTCTCTATCCTAACGTGTAAATCAATGAAATGATTGGCCTGAATTAATTAACAAAACATTTATTAAAGGCATACCGATAGGCATGCTGAGAGAAACTTCTGATGATCAAAGCACCAGCTCTGTCCATGGAAGTATACAAATAGGACTGAGGAGTGAGTACAGTTAATTTGTTTTATAGAGAAAGCACCAATTGAAGAAGACACTGCATAGCCCTTCTGAAAGTGCAAGTGAAAATAAAATAAAACAAAAAAAACCCCTTGCTTCTTGATTCAGTATTGTTTTATTAATTTATGTAATTAAGATGTAATGTAAAATAAAAATTAAACTTAATGGAGAATTTCTTTAAGAATTCCTCACATAATTCCTTTTCACATATAATTAGGATTACTGGAATCTATTTCAGATCCATAAATTAAACATTATATTGATGTTATCTATATTACAATGTTATTTGCGAAGGTAATTTGCTTTGATCCATTAAGCAGTTGCTAAGAACTATTGAACAGCTAACATATGTTTATAAAAGAGTTTTTGTTAACAAATGTGATTTATCAGGTCTATGTACTGGAAGTTCCTATGAAAATGTATATCATAAAAATATAACAGCATCTGAACAAACACAACCATAAAAATCACAAAAATCATTTGCCGTTGGTATTGTCAATGCAATTTTGGAAAAGCACAGTGTCCGACATTTCATAGACACTCAGTGAAAGAATAAACAAACTGTTGACTGACAAAAAAGATTTTTAAAAAAGTATCTCTCTCTTATGAGAGAGATTATTTCATTATCTAGGAAGGATAATCCTATACATTTTCATCTCTACAAGACAACATTTACTTAAAATAAATATTTTAGGAACATGTCCGTTATTCCTTCCTCATATCCTTCTGCGTGATGCTTCTTTTATCAGAGGAGCATAACTCCTTTATTTCGTAAGTTTACCCTCCCAGACGTTGTCTGTGACTCTGACCATCACTCCTAACCTTATGTTTCCACTGACACTCTCACAGCCTCCTAGATGTTAATTTTAACCAAACACAACTGTAGAAGTGGGATCAAAAGATAATTAGGTCTGCAAAAGGGCTCAGACATTCCCACCCACCAAACTGCTTGCACTCATCGTTGTTCTGCTTTCAAAACACGGGCCTGTTGGCCTCCACTACTCACTACGGTGAAGAAGAAAATAATGAATATACTGTCTAATTCACAGAAAACAATTAGTCCTCAGATTCCAAAAGGACAAATATTAGCACACATGGTAAAATACAGTAAAAAAAATTTTATTTAAAAATATTGTAATAGGGCCGGCCCGTGGCTCACTTGGGAGAGCGTGGTGCTGACAACACTAAGTCAAGGGTTAAGATAAAAAAATAAATAAATAAAAATATTGTAATAGGGCCGGCCCGTGGCTCACTTGGGAGAGCGTGGTGCTGACAACACTAAGTCAAGGGTTAAGATAAAAAAATAAATAAATAAAAATATTGTAATTATTCATTTGACATAAGACTCAAAATTACTCACTTTAGGAAATATTATTATTCACTAAATCACGAATATCTGATGGCCATTACTGCTATATAGCTCAGAATATAAAGAAACTTTTGACTTTAGAACAAAAAGAAATATTTACTATAACTGGTTTACAATCAAACCTATTAACTAAACAAAACACCCAATCCTCAATTTGCCTACTTCTATTCATACAGAGTACTTACACTGCTTTTGACATCTTTCAGCTTTGGGAGAATGTCTAATCCAAAACCATCTGCTTGCCCCCGAGTCTTATTTCCACCATTCATGTAGTTGCCAAAGGCAAGAACCAAACCCAGAACTCGCATAACCCCTGGGCCATTTTGTAATGTCTGCAAAAGAGGACAAAGAACTTTTTTTCCCTTTATGCAAGGTTTTCTTCAAATCATCTTAAGTAAGTGACAGCTACCCATATTGTACTAATAGTGTTTGGTCACAACCAATTTTTATCATCCCTAATTATCAGGTATGTTTTAAGAGCAGTACCTCCAGAGTTCACTTTAAAAAGCTGCACCATCAACAAGCATTCGGGTATGCTTTTGTAAGCTCAGAGATGTCAATCTAGGGCATTTCTGTGATGTAATTGCAAGGAAAACAAATAAGGCCATAATATGAGAAGTATTACAAAATAATACCATTGCATTAATTGTGCCTATGTCCTTAACAAAAATGTTTTCCATAACTTGCCAGAAACCTAAAAGCAGCCATATAGACTAATTTCCAAATTTAGGTTCAACCCCAAAATGTTCACACTCACTTCTTCCAAAGCACTACGTTTAATCTTGAATGTGCATGTCACTTCTTCTGAAAATGAGTCTTTAATAACATCTTTCCACTTTTCAAAATGATTTGCCACAACCAGAACAAATGGTACTATTGATTTTTGACAAATTGTTTTAAATGCTTATATTGGTCATTTCTGCCAAGCATTTATTCCTTGTTTTCAGAAGGACATTTATCTTCTGTTGAGTCATATGGCTGTTTCTACATCATTTGGTTAAGATAATTATTAACAATTTGTGGAGGGGTCCTTCCAAAAAATGAAGGAAAGTAAATAAAATGTCTTCAGATCACATTCATTTGGAAGTCTGATGTCTTGAGAGGAGCATGAAAAGTGGAGATTTTCTTCTGGCAAAAGCAGAAGGAAGAGAAATCTCCAGAGGCTGACATGCACTGGCCACACCAGAAACGTGGTCCTGCAGCCCATGTGCCAATCTGAACATTTGCTTTGATCTTGAAGCTCATCATTAAATGCTCCCTTCTGTGAAATTCCTATCCATCAAATTTAATGAGCACTCAGAGTAAGTAAAAGAACATTTTTCTGAAATATGGACAGCATTGAACAAAGTTAAATCTCAGAACTCAAGTTCAGTGCTCTTTGGACCAGAACCTACCTCACACAACTTCTGTAGTAATTCTAGTTTACGGTGAATTGAGCAAATGCTTTCTGAAAATGTGGCTTGGAACAGGATGCAAAAGGCTCGCTCCGAAAAGTTGGGGATTTGTGATAGTTCATAAAGGAACCTAGGGAAATAAAGCCATGTTATGAGGAAAACAGAACTCACATAAATGGATGTTTAGCCTCGTCTCATTCATACAAGTATGCACGAAACGTTTAGCCTCGTCTCATTTATACAAGTATGCACTAAAGACACTGCATTTTCTAAATGGAGAGAGCCTACTGTAGCCTGGATGCCCTCTGCATGGGCATCTGCCTGGATGTCCTAAGGCATGCTTACTGTTCAGGTTTGTCCAGAGACTTGGCATTTTCCTTGTCTTTGGAGGACCGGCCATGCTTTTCAATTTTTTCCAGTTCATCTGACTGTGCTCTCTGGAAAAAACAGATAATGATGATCTTAAAAGAGCAAAACTCTCTATATTTTCTTACTTCTTAGTATCTGTTCGTAGTAAAGCTTTAGTTAATTCACAAGGCATTTTAAAGTGTACATATATTTAATGCAAACAAGAACATCCCCAAATCTTCTGCATTAGTCCATTTCTGTTGCTTATAATAGAAATACCTGAAACTGGGTAATTTGTAAAGAAGCAAAACAGTTTCACAGGCTGGGAAGTCCAAAGCCCAGGGAACAGATGGTGAGGGCCTTTTCAGTTGGTGGTGACTCTTCAAAGCAACACAGGGTGTCACATACCAAATATGGCAGGAGCTGAGACAGACTAACTTCTTCACTCACTCTCCTCTTAAAGCCATCAGAACCATGCCCATGACCACCATTAAACCGTCACTGGATTATTCCACACACTAGGGCATAGTCCTCACAATCTGATCACCTCTTCAAGGCTTCACATTTTAATTACCATAATACGATTTCCCACCCTCTTAACACTTTTAAGTAGGGGTTAAGTTTCTAATGCCTGGAACTTTGGGAGACACAATTTAATCAACAGCATCTTCCAAGTAATGTCATTGACTATTAATGATATGCAAAACATTTATTCATTCAATTGTGTTTTAAAACAATACAGTTTATTAATGATATGCAAAACATTTATTCATTCAATTGTGTTTTAAAACAATACAGTTTTCCTTTATTACAGCTGTTTATGATACTCTCTTGAATGCAAATATTTCATTTAAAAATGATATTTCTTATTCAAAAATCAATCAAGTTAAATTTGGAAGCAATTAGATCCTAAAGATTTTATGACATTTTTAAAGAAGGCTTCCAGTCGAGATGGTGGAATAGATGGTCCCTAGCATCACTCTCTCCCACAAATCAACAAATTTATAACTATAGAAAAGCAACGACGGCCAAGGGAAGAGGAGGAGAGACCTACAGAGTACATGAAAGTGAGAGAAGCCACAATCAGAGAAAGAAAAACCTGCTCTGGCTGTTTCAAGCCCCGGCTGCTTGCAGGCTGAAGCTGCTGAGTGCTTGGAGCAGGAGCTAGCAAAAGCTTCAGCTGTGCCTTTTCAATGAAGTTGCTTAGAGGCAGCAGGGGAGAAGACCTTGATGGCCCCCAGGTCATAAAGCTGCACTCTAAAAATTATTAAGTCATGGAACAAAACTAAAAAGGTTTTGATCTTTTGGTGAACTTTCCTTTTGATACCAAAATGGCTCTAGGTTTATTTCCTTCTTAAGTGTCTCTTCTTTTTTTACCCTTCATAATCTCAAATTACAAATTTGCCATCCTATTTTTTTTCTCGCTGGGAAAGGATACTCTGCACTTTTAACATAAGGTAGAAATTCCAGACTTTAAGAAGCACAAATGTGTTTCTTTTTATAGAGCTCTTGTGTTATTTTTATTTGTAGTCTTGTCTTTATTTTACAACTCACAAAGATGTTTCAAAGAGCCAAAATACCACATTTTCTAAACGCATTAAGGAGTGAATACACCATCATATGTGGTGAGTTTGAGTCCAGTCCTCAGAACTTAAAATTCTTCCATCATTATTTTTTAGTTAAGAAGAAAGCAGCTTAGTCAAGAACTGCTGTAGAAGATAGAACCTGACAGATTTCTAGAGAATCAACAGATATCATTGAAACAACGGTAACTACTTCTTGGTATTTACGGATTCCCTTGTTTTGAAATGCAGGTTTTTAGTTGATGGCATTAACTAACAAGACTTGTTGCCTCAAAAGCAGCTTATTTTAACAGGGGAAGGGGAACAGATGATAGATCAGCCAGAGAGAAAAGCTGATCCTCTGACAGTTGCATCAATTTTGTTTTGAATGTTGTGCATCAAAATCATACAAAGAAGCATAAGAGGTGCATTTTGCTGCAAATATCCCAAGCTACTCCAAACTCTAATAATCTTTTTCAGAAACTTTAATTGCATGGTAATCATTTTCCCCCTGGTTTATTGTGGCCCTCCCAAGAATTTTAGGGGAGTAAAAACCACCTCATACCTAACAGTTACCTGTAAGAGTCAGCCTCGCAGACACTATCAGAATACCACTTATTGGGCCGGCCCGGTGGCGCACTGGATAGTGCGCCGCTTGGGAAGCGCGGCGGCGCTCCCGTCCGAGGGTTCGGATCCCAAAAAGACAATACACATCTTTCAGGCAAATAAGAGACCAGGGTCAAATTATAACAATAATATTAAAGCTAAGAATGCCAATAAGGCAAGGTTTCTTTTAAGACATATAGGTCTACACCCAAGTATAATACATAAAGGTTTCCAATCCCTATAATTTTTCTATTCTTTTAAAAGAAATGACAGCTTCTACCAGAACAGTTGGTTAGTCTGCCATCTCCAAGCCCAACCTCATTCTATACCCAAAACCTCAAAAGTAAAAGAAAAAAAAATCAAGCTTACTACAATGTGATGAAGTAATTATGTTCATTGGTTTGATTTCATGTTTTGAACTTTAGATATCTTGACATGGACTTAACCCAGCTGTGTGCTGGTGCCTGGGCTGAGTGACTAGAAACCCACTCCACAGGCCCAGTAAATCTTCCCAGATCTTAAAATACAAAAACAAAAATGCCTCAAAAGGCAGCTATAGAGAAAAAAGATGGCCAAGGTAAATCAGAGTGATAATTAAAAATACAGGAGATGGATAACATTTCTTGTGTCTTTAGAACAAAGCGATTTTCTGGCAGTGCTCTAGAGTCACTCAACAGACTACTCAGCACATATGAATTACTAACTGATTAGTCCTTTCTACCCTGCACTCTCAGACCATTTCTGCTCACTTCAGAAAGAAATGAAGCTTTCTTTGTATGCCTTATGGCAAGTAGAGGGAACTGTCACTTTGTCTCTGTCCCAGACATAAGCTCCTCTCTTCTTCCCCACAGCTGCACGTGCAGGATGCTCTCTCTCTTCTGTTTTTTTCTTCTCCTCTCTGGAGCTTAGTTAACTCCATCCAGGTGATCTCTGTGCTCTCACTCTCATACACACACACACACACACACACACACACACACACTGTCCATTCTCATTATTCATGGTAATGGACACTAAATTAGCAGATAGCAAACCATTACAGCTAGGGAAAATACAAGGTTCCTGTAGCCCCAGGAGTCACAACATTTTCATCAATCTATCAATACATAACTTTGTTTTATGTTTAAAGACACCTTTTAAAATATATGCTGTTGATTCATTAATACTAAACTTATGCCCAATAGCATCATAACTCATGCCTGAACAAAGCTTATCTAACACACAGATTTTTCCCCACAAGGCACATAGCTTTCTTGTGTTTAGGAATACTACACAGCACTTCAACTCTGCAAAATCACTAACATAAAGCACAAGATGCAAAAACTAAATAGGCTGCAAAAGGGATACTTGTTAATGGTATGAGAACTGAAAAAAGGCAGAATGCCCCCTTGTTTGGCCTCAGCTCGTAGCATGCATGTAGGGAGACTCAAATTTTTCACCACTCAGCACAAGACCATGAAGAATCATAAAAGCCCCATGGATATTGATTTTGGGCTGTCAGCAAATTTGCAAATATGGAATCCACAAATAATGAGGATCAACTTAGTATGTGTGTGTCTGTGAATATCCACGTGTATATGCAAGGGTACTTCAAAAATTTGGGAAAAAATAGAATTAAAAACAATACAAATCTTTCCATGAACTCTTTGAAGGCCCCTTGTATATGAGAGTTAGTATAAGTATATACCCTTGAACCCCTTCATTTTCTCCTTCAACCAATTACATCGGAAAAAATGTATCTCTTTTCATTCTAAAACCAGAGCAATGGTGGATATGCAGAAAGATGATGGTGGTGTCCCTGAAGCCACACATTCTGAATTTTTAAGTGTCTTAAAGAAGCAAGCGTACCAATCTCTACAGCCCTGGACACATCTATGAAGTCTCCTCACAGCTTGTATATGCCCCCAAGTTGCAAACATGCAATAAACACTGTTTAGTAAAGACTGTCCATAATTGGAGTAATATACCTATAGTTTTATTTCCTGAATTTTTTTGTATTCAAGATTTAAAATAGTCATTTGTGAGCTAGGCCATAAACCAAACAACTACTTACAGTCTAGTGTGGTTGTATTTAAAAGGATCAGATTTGTCAAGTGCCAATGTTCAGATGGCACCCTCTCCTATTCAGTCTGACAGTGCTTTAGGGGAGGGGAAGAAAAAAAAAAGAACTTGACCAGAATAGCATATAAGTCAATAGCAAATGAAAAATTATCCAGTTGAAGTGTCCAGGTGGGGTACCTATGAGGAACGTGAGACAGGCTTGGAGTCTGTACACTCAGCAGATGAATACTGCCCGCCTGCTGCCACAGCCCACTGGCATCATGAGTAGGAAAACAGCTGCTGACAAATCCCAGGCCTGCCTTCAGGAAGTGCACACAGCAGGAGACAAGTGAATAAACTCCCATGCACCAGTGTGAAGGGTGCTGCTCTAATGGAACTAAGTAATGGTGGTGTGACAGTGAGGCCTGTGAGGACTTGGAGGCTTTGGAATCTACAAACAGTTCTGGAGAACTGCTAGGGCAAAAGATAAGTGACTGGGATTCAGCTACCCTCGAGTAACACATGAAGAGGTGCTTGAGGACAAATCTTCAGAGGAAAGACAGAAGCCAGCCAGGGACAGAGAGGAAAACAGCTGCTGGCAAACCCCAGGCCTGCCTTCAGGAAGTGCACACAGCAGGAGACAAGTGAATAAACTCCCATGCACCAGTGTGAAGGGTGCTGCTCTAATGGAACTAAGTAATGGTGGTGTGACAGTGAGGCCTGTGAGGACTTGGAGGCTTTGGAATCTACAAACAGTTCTGGAGAACTGCTAGGGCAAAAGATAAGTGACTGGGATTCAGCTACCCTCGAGTAACACATGAAGAGGTGCTTGAGGACAAATCTTCAGAGGAAAGACAGAAGCCAGCCAGGGACAGATCCTG